TGAAATGTCTTATTTCGTGTAATCCTACGTGAAACGCATAAAAAAATGTCGAAATTCGACTAAAACATGTTTTTTTACCTCAGTATCGAGATCGATTTCGGCCGTATAGACAATTGTTGTGTTCTAACTGATACTATCAGAAGAAAAAAAAGACGATTTGAAAAGTCATAAAATTTAGAGGTCGAGAGGATTTGAAAAAACATAAAGGGTTTCTCAATAAATAAATTATTTCTTATTGCAACTTAAAAAAAAATGACTATGAGTAATAAACCCCATTTGGTTTTTATTATTTGTCAAAACAAAAAAAGAAAAAAAAAAGAAAAAAAGAAAAAATAAAAGAGTTGGAGCCATCATAACATCATAATAATAGGGATTTGCTTTTTACCGTTTGAAAATTGCTATTTACCGTTCAAAGACTCTCTCTCTCTCTCTCTAAAAAAAATCGCTCTCAAGACGATTTCTTCACAAATCATTCTTATTGGTGTGATATACGAACATAAATGAGTTCATCGGATGAAGATCTGGATAGCGGACACAGCGAGGTAAAAATTCCGTCTTTTCGATTGAAAAAAATGGGCTAAACATTCAAAAGCCCATCTCGGGCGCCCGACAGTGCAGTGCACACCCATGTTGGGCGTGCAAGAGGCTGTTACATACCCACTATGAGCGTTTGTAGGCCAACTGCACGCCCAACATGGCGTGCACTGCACGCCCAACATGGCGTGCACTGCACCGTCGGGCGCCCGAGTTGGGCTTTTGGGTTTTAAACCCTTTTTTTTTTTTTTTTTTTTTAAAATCAATTTTTTTACGTTTTTTTCAGGACGATACGTCTACAATTGAAGTTGATCATACCGATTATTTTACCACTACTCAGTTGTTTGACTCGAAGGATGAGGTAGTGGTTTGGGTGAGGTTCGTTGCAAGAGGTCTTTTTGTGAAAATAGTAAAAAGAAGCAGTCCTAAAAAAATCTGCTCTGACCTTCGATCCACTCTTATCCACGAACAACAACTTTCCGAGCAAGTATGCAATATATGCTCGTACCCGATACGCGGAAGGAAATGTAGAATTGTCGCCATACTTTACCTCCAAATCATCTAACCGGGGTCCGCCACCATACCACCACTGCTCCATAAGTGCGGGGTCGACCCCGAAAGCTCTCGCACCAAGCTGGATCGCGTCGGCCTTATCCATCCAAACGTTAGGGCGAATTCCACTAACTCGCAAACCCATGATGAAATGCACGTCGTGGAGGGTAATTGTCATCTCACCGAATGGCATGTGAAAACTGTTGGTGTCTGGCTGCCACCTCTCAATAAAAGCCTCTATTAGTGGGTTATTGTGCTGAGGCAGCGAACAATCACGCAAGTGATACAAGCCCGTGTTAGAGTAGGTGACCAACAAGCCAACGTGTGGCTGTGGTCTTTCGTATTTATTATTGTAATAAACGAACCTTTATTCGTATTAATGATTAAAACACCTTGGCATTCTATATCTTTGTCCCTTTGTCACAAGCATAGATATAGTCCTTACAGTTATTACAAGTACTAGTAATTGATCATAAGGATCGTGAGATATTTACTTAAGTATTATAACTGTTAAACGTGTTCCTAGTCAAAGGGTTACGCCACCAATGAGGATATCGGCATTTCCCATTAGAAGACTAGCACTTAGTGTATGTGTACTGCATCTCATCAGTAAACGGTATTGTGATATCGGCATGCATAAGTGGGTGCTCGTAAGTTGACGAGTTCACTGAACTCCCTCACCCTAGAAATCTCTAAGTGGTTCCCAATAATCGAGTAGAGATATCTATGGTATAGTTGTACACCATTAGTCCTTATGACCTAGACATCACCGTGACTTCACTAGAGGACCAGCTGTATCGTGACCTGTCCCTGAGTTCCACCGAGGACCATCCCAAGGGCCAGTGTTCGTGCAGTCCGAAATCTAGTGGGAGGTCTGTGCATTGTAGTCAGGGATTCGATCGCTAGAATAGTCTTCGATGTCCTGTGTGTTCTGAAAGTTTGTAATCATTCTAAGTCTCTGGCCAGAGCTGACTAAGTGATGATTAGAGAATTCGATTCTCTAAGTCATGCACGTGACAATTACAACACTTAGAACGATCGCACCGTCATCGAACAAATAAAGAGGTCTCGATGAACCAATGCCTCTAGTTCGATCGGGACATATGAATCGAAGGGACCGTACTGTACGTTAACTATATCTGAAGGTTCTTGCAGGCACTTCATTTGTATCTAGGGAATCATGACGCGTAGTTGCTAGACGCCAATCTTGATTCGTTGGGTGATTAAGGTGAAACGAGCTTCATCTTAATCGTAACTCGAAGGGGACGAGTTTTGACCACAAAGGGTTGTGGGCCCACGGCTAGCTTACACCTGAACCATCGAGGGTCACACTGCTCGTGCACATGAGATCTTTGAATAAACGGTCAGAGATAAAATAGTTTATCTTTGCATGATTGGAAGTCAATATGATTGAGTCCAACATTCATAATTTGGAATTATGAATGAGAATAAGAAAAGGAAAAGAATAGGCGAACGTGTTAGTGAACTTTCTAAATCGGGAAGTTTCCAAATCTAGAAAGTGCACTGAACTAGGGTTTCCACTTTTGGAAAGTTGGAAAATGAAAGATGGCACTCGTAATGACGAGGGAATTATAATGATTCCGAAAATGTAATCGTTACAATTTTTCGGTCATTGAATTGAGAGAAACGAGCAAGTAAAAGTACTAGCGAACTTAAGCTGTTGGGCCCGGTCCAACTTAAGCCCGCTAGGGTTTTATGCAAGGGACTATAAATACATGATTTATAGGCCTTGCAAAAACACACAAAAACCCTAACCCTAAGCGGCCGTCCACTCTCTCTCTCGGCCTCTCTTTCCGCGGCCATCACCGCGCCACCGTCGCCGTTCCGTCGCCGGAATCGGCCGTTCATCGGCTGTTCCTCTTTCGGTACTCTTTCTCTTTTCGTTTCTTCCGTTTTATTCTAACTACTTCGTGTCTAGTGCCACGTTTTAGTAGATCGAAGTATACGAGGTGAAATCCGAGAGGAGGAAGATCGTAGATCGAAGAATCGAGGAGCAACGCACGAGCCGAAGCTGCACGCTGCCCCACGCGCCGCCCCGAAGCCGCGCGTATACCGCACGCGCCGCCGTGACCTCACGCGCCGCTGCTGCCGCTGCACCGCTGCTGCCCCGATTGTACGGATTGGTTTCCGTAGCAATCTCGACGTGTTAAACGCTCCTACCTCACGCGTCAAGAGGTAAATCCACGAAACCCTAGTTTCGTTTCGATTAGGTTTAGACTATGATTTCATGTTTGTTTCGTATGATTTTATGTGATTATGTGTAATCGTTTTAAATCATTACAAGCATGTTATTTGGTTTAAACGCGAGCATGTTAATTGATTTAAATTCGGTTAAATTTATTAGCATGTATGTTGTTTTTTAATTTCGCTGGAAGCGCAAAGGTACGCAATTAATTGATTTAATTTGTCGGGCATGTACTATGTGCGTTTTAAACTCGTTTAATTCGCATAAATTTTTGTTTTCCGCTGCGTATGCGTGCCCGATTCCCAACAGCCCGTACTCTCCAGTAGTGAGACACAATCATCGTCGTCGGGGCCTGGCCAAGTACACTTCGCGTGCGACCGTAATTTAACCATATGTCGACCCTGTTAAAGATATATTCATATATAAGTATACCACAATCAAGTGTAAATATTATAAACAAAATTTATTAATATTAATAAGTATTACCTTTCCCTCCCAAATGTCGTAGGCAATATGTGCAACAAAACTCGGAATCAAGTGAGCGTATTTAGGTCCACCGGGTGTCTCACCAGTCAACATCCAAGGTCGAGAAGGAAGTTTTTTTCTCGGAGCGGTGCGGGACCTCGAGACAGGATTAGAACCACAGAAAGTACCACCCATCGGGACAGGAGGCGGAGTCGGAGTCGGAACATCCTCGTAATCATCATCGGATGGAAAATCCGGCACCGAAAACTGATACTTCTGCTGAAAGCGTAGTTGTGGATCGTATACTCCTGCGGATGCATATATGCATCCATGTGTGCATCCATCTCCTGCTCGGCCTCTGTCTCCTCCTCAATCATCGTACGTGGGGGTACAAAAGCACCAGTGCGTTCCCCACGACGTTTAGAACTGGTAACATTTCTATTATGTGTCCTTCCCTCCCGTTCCGCAGTAGTCTCCTCCACCGGATCTGCAGGAGAACGAATCAGGGGTCCTTTCCCTTTTCCCAGTCCGAATTTTTTCGCCCAATTAGACATCCTGTAAACATAAAATTATTATAATTTCATTGAATTAACTAAATTATATTAAATTTACTAACTTATTTTAATTCAGAAAAAAAAAAAAATTATTTTAAATCAGAAAAAAAAAAAAAAAAAAAAAATTAAATCGAACGCCCGGTTTGGGCGTTTCCCGGCCGAACCGACGCCTGACCGGCGCTGCCGGGTTCAAAAAAAAAAAAATTTTTTCTTTCGGCGTAAAAAACAAGAGGAGTCAACTCAATGGGGGGGGGGGGGCCGGGGCGTCCAAAAACTGATTACACGCCCAAGTTGGGCGTCCGTTCATGCAGCCGGCGCCCAACTTGGGCGTTTGGGTAAAATTTTCGAAAATTTTAAAAGCCCTACAAATCGATTTGTAGGGCTTTTAAACATGAAATTGGTTGCAAAATCGAGTTACCCATTGCATATAACACATGTAGGTGTTGAAATTACCTGAAAAAATCGAAGCCCAAGCCCTGAAATTGGTTGAATTCGATGTTTTTCGAAAAAAAAAAAAAAATCTGAAAATTTTGGAATGGGGTGGTTTTGGAGAGATTTTCGAAATTTAGGGGAGATAAACTGTTTTTTGCTTTGAACGGTAAATAGCAATAGTTAAACCGTAAAGAGCATTTTCTTAATAATTTGATCTAGTGGGGGATTTCCCCTAATTTTGCCAATGTAAACATTTAACAATTAGTTAGGCAAGAGAAATAATTCATTGTTTCAAACCCTAGACCAGGGGTCTTGTGCTCTCTCTCTACCCACTGAGCTACACGGGCAGATTAATTTTCCTTCTATTTTCCAATAGGCTGATTTAATTTCTAATTTATTCAAATTGGATTCGTGATTCCGCAAGTTGCTGAATCAATTTCTGCGAATTGTTTGGATTTCTCATTTGCAAGAAAAAAAAAATGGGGTTCATATGTGCGTTAATTGAATTCCTATCGATCTTCGCTTCAGCTCTTTCAATCGGATTGTTGGCGGCCACTGTTTTCGCTACCTTTAGAAGAAAGTATACTCACAAGTACGATTTATCCCCCATTATTATTAATTTTTTTTTCCCTTTCGCAGTTTTTTTAATGTTTTTTTTTTCTTCTTTTCGATTTTAGCCGTAATGTTGAGGCGCCCGCTGTGTTTGAGGATCCAAATTCATTGCAACCGGTAAGCATCGAAGATCCAATTTTGTTGCAATATCGATGCTGTTTGTTTAATTCATTTTTTTTTTCTGGGTAAATTTATTGTTTTGATGACTAATTTAATATTTTGGAAATTCAAACTGATTGAATAGTCCTACTTAATCCTGTATTTCCGTGCCCGTGATGAACATGTGTAAATGCTTTTTGATTGGATTAATGTGCTGAATCTTTTATTTCAGGTTACTTGTCCTAATATACTTGATCCTGCTGAAAAGTACATATCTTTGATAATTCCAGCATACAACGAAGAGCATCGGCTTCCGGGATATCTCGACGAAACATTGAAGTAAATACATCAATACTTATTTAAATTCATCTTTAATTGCAAAAATGCGGTGGGGCTATTATTGTTGTTCACATATTATAATATGATCCCGATTCGTTAATTTGGATCAATTCGTACTTGGAAATGCATATCAACTTTTTGTCATTCGACAGTTTTGCTAGAATTAAAGGAGTTCCAACCATGTTAAGCGATTCAAACTTGAGTATCTTAATAACTGTCCGTGTAAATTGTTGTGTTAGTTTGTTGAGACGATATAAGCAATAATGAAGATTAAAGGTTTTCAAGATTATTAAGCTAATGATCCAAACTTACGAAGGATTTTAATTATTGATTTTATTTCCAGTATCTGTGTGGACCTTTTGAGTTACAAACTCAACTGTGAAGTCGGTTTGAGTAATATTAATTAAGGCGAAGAACTAGATAGCCAATTAGAAAATGATTTAAGAGCCTTATTTTACGAACATTTTAAAACAAAAATGGTTGTTACATGTAGGAAGTTTAATTCTCTTTTCCCTATTTGGTTGTGTTGTAAGAGGAATATCTATTGTGATCAGTTTTCACCTCAGTGGAGAAGGGGAAGAGAGCTTGAATGTCTTATTTTTTAAAGATTAACACTGTTTATAACTACCCCTCGATTTCTTTCCAAATGACAAATTATGAAGAAAAGATATTCATATTATGAGTTGTTCTATAATTTCAAGTTAAAAAGTCATTAATGGGTAATTTTGTCCGAATTTTCCCTTAAAAAAAAAGGATATTTAATAGCTTCCTTAATTCTTGTGCATCCTTAAACATCACCTAAAAAGAAGCGGAGCAAGTAATTTATACTCTCTTTAATTGTCATGGAAATGGAAGCTCTGTCTAAAATATTCTCAAGTAGGCTCGTACTATCTATTGTCTTCAAGATAATGGCTAGGGTTCAACTTGTTGATGTGTTTTAATTGGCGGAAGTGTCAAATATTAACTCCTTTTGAGCCCTAAAACAGTTCATTATTTACACAAAAACACATACCTGCAAAATGCAGTGAGAATATCTGTTCAAATATTCCTTTTAGAAATCTGTGTGTGCATGTAGTTGTTCATATAATGATGATAATTCCTAAAACTTCAGCATATATGTTTGACAAATTTTCTTATAATAGTTTGTTTGGTAATTATAGTTATCTTCAAGAACGGGCATCAAAGGACAAGTCATTTACGTACGAGGTATTATAGACACTGCTCTTCTATCTGTATTGTTGCTGTAAGATATTAATTCCTTTCAGTTGAGTCTCTGACATAGTTATCACAGAAGAGGATGTTCTGGCCCTATGAAGTTTCAGATGCGTGAGATACAATAATGTTAACATGAGATGGCATATAGATAATGTAAAGGGTCACCTAATTTTTTCTTGAAACTTTATATATCTGCTAATTACAAGTTTTAAAGGACTTGTTCAATTGGATCTGCCTAGTGGGTTTTGGCTCTAGAATTGAATGTGCCAACAAAAAAGAAATGAAAGAAATTATACTTCTGAGTATGTAACCAATCCGTGAGAGAACTTATTGCTTGAATTTAAAATGATATATGTTCATCGAACTACACTGTTTAGCTGAAAATGTGCATTTCTTTCCCCTGCAACACTAGAGTTTGCATAGAGAAATTTGATATTTTTACCCGTGATAGTTAGGAGTTGTTGTAGTCTGTGCATTATTGTCGATGTGGATAAATATTATGGTCCAAGTATACGTATCTTCCGATTGTTCTGCACCCTACAGAATAAGCCGGACAGCTCAAGTTTATCCGATGATTCTTAAATTTGCTAAAGTTTGTCGATAAACTGCTAATTATAGGAAAATACTAGAGTAATTTAATGCAGCTAATTTTGAACTAATTCTAATTCCGACCGCCATTCACATCAATGCATTCTTATCCTTGAATGTAATGCCAAGATAGTCTTGTTGGAAACGATATTTTTCAATTCATGTATGCATGAATAGTGCTCGCTTGTATGTTAATAATTATCTCCTTTGAAGCCTGAGCTGGACTGTAAAAAAGTTGATCTTGGCCACTATGGAATCTGTAAGATTTAATTTGCATGTTGTAACCCTCCTACATAGGTTATAGATTTCAGCAAAACTGTAGAATCTGGTCGTACAATTGGTGTTACAACTGGGAGGGGAGGCTGATTGTGTGGCAAACTTCAATCCCCCAACTTATAGTATACCTGCATTCTATCCTTGGCAATGATTGAGTTTTTTAACCAAATAGTTATTTCTTGTGATTGGTGATCATCAAATTACATATTTGTTAAGACTCAAATCGGTATTTGACTGCCGTCAAATTGGTGTTGATTGTTCCACAGTTGATGTGTTTTGTTTTGTGGAGAATTCATTTCATTGCTGTAACTTGGTTCAAGTTCCCTTGTTTTTAGCTTTAAAATCTTGTCGAAATAGTAAATGCTCCTACACTTTGTGCCCATGTGGGAAATGAGTTTAATATTATTGTTCATCGATTTTTAGCTACTTGCATCTTGCTAATGAATAAATGTTGGGACTAGGTGGTGATTGTTGATGATGGAAGTGCAGATGGTACAAAAAGAGTTGCTTTTGACTTTGTAAAGAGATACACTGTAGAAAATGTAAGAGTGCTCCTTCTAGGACGGAACTATGGGAAAGGAGAAGCTATAAGAAAAGTGAGTCAATTCTGAACAATTGGTTCACGTAGAGACTTTGATGTGTTATTTATATGTGCTTGATTTTGTTCTATAACAAATCATTGAACCTTTCTGCTGCTGTAAGCATTTCTAAACAGGGCATGCTCCACTCACGTGGTGAACTACTTTTAATGCTTGATGCTGACGGGGCAACTAAAGTGACCGACCTTGCCAAACTCGAAAACCAGGTTGGTATTGATTTTGACTTCTTGTGTCTGTTTGATTTCCACTTTTGAAGCTCAAATCCAAATCTGAATGACGAACATTGAGGTTTGATCCACCTTTGCACTCTTGTTTTGGGTGCAAACTCAAATATTGGAGTTTGTTACCTCAAAGTCCATTCCGTATACACCGTCTCTCTCTCTCTCTCACACACACACACACACATCTGTTTCCTACTACCGCTCAAAGTATCATATAATCAATTATATATGTAATCATTTCGTATATTCATTATCACTTTTGTATAATGAACGGATGATCAGCTTCATGATTTGACACCGTTATACGTCACATCTACCCTACTTGAGATGACATATCATATCAAATTTGACCTGTTTGAAAAATGATATCTAATCCAAGCACATCCTTTTCTTTTCTGATGCATATTTTTTGACTATGTTTCTTACAAAGAAACCGAACTGAGCCATACGTAATACGTTCTTTGTGCAGCATTTCATCTTGGTTTACATCTGATCTGAGAGCCTAGTTCCTGTAATTTAAACTGATATTTTCTGCATCAGATTCGTGCAGTTGCTTTGAAGGAGCGCAACTCTTCAGCTGATGATTTAACTCTAAGGATCTCAGATGTCCCAATTGCTGCTTTTGGGTCACGTGCACATCTCGAGGACAAGGCTCTAGCAACAGTTGAGTCTCGTTTCATATTCATTTTCTATGTGCTTTGTGATATTTTGTTACATGTGTTTATTTTGGTTAATCTCTATAAATGATCTTTCATTTTTTTCAGAGGAAATGGTATAGAAATTTCTTGATGAAGGGATTTCATTTGGTTGTTCTGTTGGCTGCTGGTCCTGGAATTCGGGACACGCAGGTAATGCAAAATTGACTTCTTCTTGAATCCCATTATTTGATTTCACTATCTGTTTACTTTGGCATGCGTCTATTGTTCTCTATTGTATCTGTTTGTCTCTATTTTTGCATGTGCTGTGCGGTGATGAGGAAATGCATCTACTTCTATATTTTCTTTAGTTATTTGATGCCTTTAGTTTATTGCATCCGTTCTTTGTTGTTAATGCTAGGAGACATTCAAAACATTATAGTCATTGGTTTCTAATTTTGGAATACGTCTTATTTTTTTTGAAGTTTTAACTGAAGTATTATGTATAAAATAAAATGCTTGTAAAACATTCGCCATTACATCATTAATTGCAACCCTAAAGACTACAAGTTGAGGTTTTGTTTTACTATTTCTTGATTTTCTTCTTCTTGCACTTCTTGTTTCAGTGTGGTTTTAAAATGTTCACGAGAGCTGCTGCCCGGAAGCTTTTCACAAACATCCGCTTGAAACGGTAAATATTTCTCTTCAGTGACTTTAATGTATCTTTTCATATCTGTACGATTGCAAATAAACTTGAAACAGCAGCATTGATATACTTCCTCTGTTTCTCATATTTATTTATTTTATTATTTTTAAGTTTTGCTATTCGTTTCCAACAAAAAGATTAATATTTTACCACTGAACCGGATCGAGACCTTATTAGTCTGTGTTCTATAAGACTATAACTTTTTCTTTGACGTGGGATTTGATCTGACCTAATATGACTAACTGAATTTTATCATCAACCTGACTCGATCTGTGTTGTGCATGCTTAAATGGATGGCTATCTTGAATTTATCCGTGAAAATGATTATGTAAATTGAGTTTGGTTGAAAGACTGGATCAATTGAATTTTCTCTTACAGTCCTATACCTCTAGTTTTCTTGATCGTAAAAACAATGAGTTTGCTTATAGGATGGTTTTACAAGGGTAATGAAAACTCTAGTGTTCTAATATTACTGATTTACTGTATAATAATAACCGAAAGATGGTAGACAAGAAGTACTTATTTAATAGATTAGGCTGTTCTTTAGGCAGTACCCTTGTTTTTCTGGAACAAGGAAGTCAGAATAAAGTACAAGTTACAATATATAAAGATTGTTTGCAATTGTGTTGAAGTATATAAGTAGGGAGGTGAAAATTTCTGAAAAGCCCTTATTGTTTCTAACTACTGGATACACTTTCATTTGGCTGGATCGGGAATTTCAAATAATTTCGAAGTCCATCCAAGAAAACGAAAATAGCTCAGTTAGTTGATAGAACCAAACACTGACAAACTTGTTGCAAAGGAAAAAAGAAACGATTAAATTATAGGTCTTGAACATGGCAGAAGTTCTTTACTAACTATTGGCTTTATGTTGCAATGAATTGTCACCTTATCATTAAACTATACTCGATAACGGTTGACAGCTGTAATCTTGTTTCGCACATGAGTTTCGTAAGGTAACATGTGTAGCAGACGAATATATAGAACTGTCTTTTATTTTATCGACTTGTCTTGTTTAGTTCAATTCTGCCATTCCGACGAATAAAAAAGAAAATTAGTATTATGTGGAGGAACAATGCTGAAACGGTAGGAACTAGACAATTTGACCCACGTAGGACTTGTTTCAGATTGTTGATGTGATTGATTGAATTGACGCGGATTACATTGTCCATGATAGTATAATGTGATTACCTTATGTTTTTCTTATTTGTGGTTATACAAACAATTGGGTAATATCAGCCGGAGGGTTTTTGAAATAATAAGGTTTGGGTTTGGACTAAATATCCTACATATGCTTGATTAACGGGCCCACTTCTTATTCTTTTCCGAGCCTGAAACCTAAACCTCAAACATTTGAAAAACCTTGATTATACTGTCCATTGAGGCCTTGTTTGGTTAAGGAGATTAGCCATGATTAACTACCCAAAGTATTATTTTATCTTGGCTTATCTTGCCTTATATGAAGATTATTTATTGAACCTTTCATTGTTTTCATTAGATTATGGGGACCGCTAAAACAAATACCGTTTCTTTCTCACTTTAATACCACCAACATAAAAAATAGAAAATAAATAGGTATGACATTAATACCCTTAATAAAATCAATACCACACAAATTTTGTGTGGGGTATTGATTTTTATTAAGAGTAATAATGTCATTATCTATTTTATTTTTTATTTTTTATGTTGGTGGTATTGAAGCGAGAAAAAAAAACGGTATTTGTTTTAGCCACTCCCTTAGATTATTGAATCTTATCTTGGCTAAATTGATATTGGCGACCATACGAGGCCTAATTCATATCCTAATTCTCAAATAACCATTTATTGTGCTATCAAACCAACTTCCTCTTTTCATTTTCTTTTTATTTCCCTCTTTTTTTTTTTTGAGCTTTTCTTGTATATAAATATCTGTCACCTTTGCATTTTGCAGGTGGTGCTTTGATGTTGAATTAGTGTACTTGTGCAAATTTTTCCGCATCCCCATGATCGAGATCTCGGTAAACTGGTCTGAGATTCCCGGATCGAAGGTTAATATGTTTAGCATTCCTAATATGTTGTGGGAGCTGGCACTCATGTCTCTTGGTTATAGAACTGGCATTTGGACAATTCACTCGTAATTCCTTACTGACATAATATATTACAAGTGTTGCATCACCATAGTCGATTACTCGAGTCATTGATTTGAAATAGAAAACTGGCGCTATTGTCGATTAACACTGGAAAATCTCATGATCGAATTGTAACCATTATACCGAATTTAATGTTTATTCAAAAGCCATTGTATACTTTTGACTGTTAATTCAAAATTTTAAAGGTACTAGCGGAATTTGTACTTATGTATGACATTGATTTGATTCCTATAAACTTCATCAAGAGAGATTAGAGTTGCTTAATGGCATGTAATACAGTAATAGATACATTTGAGTATTTGTTAATGAACTAGTATATTCTATCCTTATCGTTTTAATGTTATTATTACTTTTTATTTATTTACAATTATTTTATTTGTGTTTTCTATTTATTGTACACCTTCGAAAAAAGTATGAGTGATTTTTGTTTCTTAATTTTTAGGATTAATGAGGCATAGCCCCTCATTAGAAAAAATATTAGGACTAACATCTAACATTACTTTAAATGGGTTAAACCCAATTACATTTTTCAATTACTAAAAACCCCATATTTTATAATAGCAATGCCCCCCTCCATCGTTTTCCCAAGAATCAACAAATCTTCGACCATTTCTTCAATATAATATCTCCCCAAATTTCTGCTAGTATGCTATATTTCTTCCAGAAAAATTGCAAAAAAGTATGTAAAATATATACGATCATTTTCCGGTTCCAACAAAACTTTGGTTTGTTACATTTGTTCACAAAAAGAAAAAAACGGATATTTGTGCGAATTGCAGAGAAATACAGACCGACAACAATGGTGAAAGCTAGCAAACCGACAGGTAGTTTCCTATACATTAATGGCTCCCCTCCACTTCGATTAACCTAATTTCTTAGTTTTACAATATAATTTATATATTATGTTTTCACCCTTCTCAGCGTCTTCGAAGGACAAATTGAAGTCTCGTACAAAAATCTTATGCAACGGCAAGCCTGAAATCGACAATCCATTTTCACTTAGATTTGTTGCAGATTTAATAGTTGTTTGATTAATTATGTTATTTTTCATACATGAATCATTGAAATTTTCCCTAATTTCGGTGACGCCGAAATCAAAGAAACGCGACGAGCATATGCGACAGTTCAGAATTCTTCCATGGTTGATTACTCAAAAATGGAGTTTGTAAACAAGCTTGGTTTACCAACCCTCATTAGGAGAGTTGGTACCTAGCCTTACCAATAGGGTAAAAGGTCTAGGGTTCGAGTCCCCCCCCCCCCCCTACTTCCCCTTGTAATGACTTGAATTACTCAAAAAAAAAAAAAAAAAAACAAGCTTGGTTTTTAGATTTACAAATCTATGGTCGCACTATTTGTTAACTTGTAAATATTTGTTTCCTATGAAATTTGTTTTATCAGGGTCCACAGCAAAGAAGAGATCATTGTTATGACGAAAATCATAAAATATTGTAGTCATCCACACCCAGAGTCAATTATAAAAACCGGGTAGTTCACTATATTGTTCCCAAAGTCAGCTATAAAAATTAGATAGTCAACTACAATTTTTACGATGTCAACTATAAAAAATGGTAGTCAACTATAAAAAATGGATAGTTAACTATATTACTGCCAGAGTCAACTACAAAAATTAGATAGTCAACTACAATTGTTCGGATGTCAACTCTAAAAAAATTGGTTGTCAACTGTAATTGTTTCATTAATTCACTATATTATTTTTTAATTTAAAATATTATGGTGTTATAAATTTGAATACTCACGGTAAAAAAATCATCTCCGGTGAAAACATGAATTTCATAGAATAGAAAATATATAAAAAATGAGATGTAGAAGAAAATATAAAGTAATGAGAAGAAATAGAGAAAAAAAAAAAGGAAACAGAAACAGACGAGAAGAGAGGAAATGGGGAAGAGAGAGAAGAGAGAGAGGAGAGAGGAAAGAGGGGAGAAAGAAGAATAAATGAAAAACAAACTAGAAAAGAGGAAATGAGGGAAGAGAGAGAAGAGAGAGAGAAGAGCGAGAGAGGAGAGAGGGAGAAGAAAAGTAAAAGAAAAACACGTGAAAAAAAAAGAAGAGAGAGAAATGAATGGCGAATATAAATGACGGATATGAGAGAAATAAGGAGAAGAGAAAGAAAGTAAGAGAAAAATATGGACAAAAAAGAACATAATGAACATTAACATAAGCTTAGGGAGGTCACACAATTTAAAAAATATTAAATGAATTTGTTTACAAATGGTGAATTATAAATTGAGCTCACACTATATTATTTTACTTAATTTCACACTACAGTTAAACCTCTATAAATTAATACAATTAAGACCATCAAAATTTCATTAATTTAGCGAAATATTAACTTATCGATAAATTAATAATAATTAATTTATACATTAATTAATAACTTACTAATTTATGAAATTACTTTTATTATTATTTTCAATAAATACATTTTTTTTTTAATTTTCACGTGTATATTATTCATTGTAACATTCGTTCAATGCACTATAGACTCCGTTTCACGAATAGAAGCTCTTAAAACAGTAATGGTATAAAACGATTTATGTTGAGTTATGAAAAAATTATACCGAAAGTTCTAACCATGTTCAGAAAAGTGAGGGATGAGATTGATGGTGATGTGAACTTCTACAAGAAACAAGCGAAAATTAAATTATATTCTATTAAGGCTTCATAGATCTATAAAATATGCAATGTACCATGTAATTTAAGAATTATTTTTATGCATTATTAATTTATATATTATATGGGGCTTCTTAAAATTTTCGAATGTGTATTATCTTATAAATTTAGCGAATTATTAATTTAGCACGTTGTCCCCAAGTCAGGACCGGAAAAATTTATTATTTAAACGAGGTTATTAATTTATCGGGTATTAATTTATCGAGGTTCTACTGTATATTATTTTACTTAATTATGGATATCCATCATTTTCCCTAATTTTTATGTGCTCCCTATTACTTTATCCTTAATCTTTGTTAGTTTTCTTAATGACCAAGAGGAGGGTGTATTATACTTTAACTTATTCTTAAAAAAAATAGGCGTGTCTAAGTGTCTTTTCATATATTACAATCTTACTTTAAAGTTAAGTTTATTTTTTTTCTAACACAATTCTTTGTATAAATAATTTTTAAAAGAAGATTAATCTCATATAATACTACTTTTCAAGAACTTTCCAACGACATATCACAAGCATATACATATCTAGAAATTCATATGAGAAAATTCTTTTATTTTAAGTGGAGTATTATGAACTTAATTTATATAGTTTCAATTTTCAATTTTATTAAAGAATATCATTATATACTTATTTTGATTTACTAAGTTTACAAATGTGATAACCGAAAAGAAAATGAAGAACTCTATATAACCCTTCAAATGAAATAAAGATATACTATTTTGATTTACTAAGTTTACAAATGTGATAACCGAAGAAGAAAATGAAGAACACCATGGCTCTGATTGGTTCATAGATTTCAAAATAAGGAAAATGAAAATGCAAAGGAAAAGGAAATTAATGACTTTTGGAGTCCCAATTGTGTTTGGTTCTTAAGAAAAACAGTGATGACAATAATTTTGCGGAAAATTATTTTCCTTAGTTTTGTTTGGTTCTTGAGGGAAAATAATAGAGAAAAATACCAAGTAAAATGAATATACAAATGAATTGTTATTAAAAACCAAGGCTTTGTTTGGACATTTTTATTTCAAATTAAAATTCTAATAAAAAAAGAGATAATTTTTTAATTTTAAAATAAATTCTAACCCCAAAAAAGTGTCATGTAACGAATAAAGCAAAATATAAAATAAGATGGAAATTTTATGTGTGTACAAATATCTTTTCCTTTCCTTATTAATGCATTTTAATTATCGAAAAAAAAAGGAGAGACTTAAAAGAGAGAAGGGGAGGAGTGACCCAGGAGAGAGATATGAGAGAGAAGAAGAATACGTAGAGAAAGATAGAATGACACATTTTCCACATATTTTTTGAGGGAAACCATTTCCCTTGTTTTAGTGCAATTTTTTTTCCAAATTTTCCATGAAATTGTTTTACATAGTAATTTACTTATCAAGCAAACAGGAAAACTATTTTACATCCCCTTTACACTATTTTACCTACTATTTTCATTGAACCAATCATACCCTATATAACTCTTCAAATGAAATAAAGAAAGACATTCTATTTGCAAATAAAATATCTTAAGCTCACTCGTCCACCCAATAATCCAATCCAGATCGCGTATCGCGATCTGGCTTTGTGGATCACGACATGGACCCAGGCCCAAAAACGCGTTGGAAGAGCCCCCATGTCGCGACATGTATGCTGGATCACGATATGGTCTCTTCGTTAACTTCAAACAATGTTTTATCCCTTTTGCATACCGAATTTGACAAAAATGTATTTCACAATGTTGTAGGCCCTTGCACTTGGCGTTCTATTCACGTTTGATTCAGCTCAGTCAGAGGTATGCGAGAGTTATGCTTGAAATACCGAACACTGTCGGATTTCCAGTACAATACACTTTTGCATATGTTTGGCTTACTTTCGGCTTCGCTTCCAAAATCGTTTCGAATCGACAAAAACGCGGCTGTTTAACTAAAACTGAAATAAAATACAGAAAATATAATACATATATAAATAGCCAAAACTCGGACGAACAAACAACTAACCTCGGGGATTAGATACGTGAAAATACGTGCAAAATGAGCCCTTATCAACAAAACGCCATAAAGCTCACCCATTTTAATTAGTTATTATTGAAATAATTATATGATAAAAAAAATGTTTGGTACTTAATCTATAATTGTACAGAGAAAAGTATGTGCGCTCAATTATCCACATGATTTCAACTATGCACCGGAATGCATCAGGGGAAATCGGTAGAGCTCCTACATTAGGGTGAAAATCGTAGTACATCAACATAACTGGTGTCAACAAATCGATCACGTGAGGTATAAGAGGAAACCCTACACGCATAACTGATCACGATATATGTTCCAGACAGAAAGTCTGCAAAAAAGAATACTAAATCAATACAATCCAAAGTATGTTGTTATTATAAGTAATAAAATTATTAATAAGTAAAATGTCATGAACTTACAATGATGCGATACTGACAGTTGTGTAATGCTAAATGCAAAGAAAAAAAAAAGAAAGACATTACTATCATAAAAAGAATGAGATTAAAAAATAAAATCAATGAGAATGCATCCATACATTAATGACCGAACATGCAAAATAAAAAATCTAAATGTACTAATAAAACTGATTCGATATTTTTTATCTAAATGTAATAACCAACATCACGCAGATAGTAATA